TTCAATAATGACAGGACTTATCAGAATTATCTGAAAATTATCTTCCTGATTGTATTTATCCGAACTGTTGTCAGGGCTCCAGAAACACACTGACCCCTCACACAGCTATTGCCACAATGGGAAACATGTCAAAGGTCACACAACCGACTGTGAGCTGTAAAAGTGAATGATAAATAACTGCTTCTTCTCAGAGGTTTCACAGTTGTCTTTGGGATTTACAGTAAGCAGCAAAATGCAGGTAGCGGCCAAAAACACTGAATATCATGCAAAAGCTTGTTCCTTCCTCTTAACCTCCTCTAGTCACTATATCAGTTGACATCAGTCATGAACTGTGGAAAATGTCTGGAAAATTGAGTCTGGACATTTTGTGGACTTTGTCTTTCACAAATGAAGAACGCAGGAGGAGTATTTGTGGGTCAGACACATTTACAACAACAGGATATTTTCAGAAAATTTCACGGAAATGTCTGGACTTGAGTCATTCTTACTGGTGAATGACCCCAGTTCAAGATCTCCCCCCCTCTCTACTGGGATGTCCATTTTGGGGTCTCCTCATAATAAAGCATCAATGTCCTCACCTACTGACTACATCATGTATATCATTGTGTATTTCAAATAACTTACCTCCAACTTCTTCTCTTCTATGGGTCACTGAGGCCAACTAATGCACAATGGGCTGTGTAGTCATAATATGACTCCCGGTTATCTAGCTGGGAGGAATTTATCAACAAGAGATACCAGAGAGGCTTGTGAGTGAAGGAGCGTTTTCAATTTACTCCTTATTAGATTTGGCACGTTGCTGCATGAGCCTCCACAGGGAACTTTTGTTTCAGCAATGTCTCTTATCTTCTCAATAAACTAACAAACCCACCAAACTGTCTCTTGTTATCGCTACAAATACAGGGATAACTTTGTGATGAGAGGAACTGAAACCTGTTATCTGAGATCCTGAGTCTGGAGAAGAAAATTAAGTTGTCATAAGATACACCGATTTAAAGAATTGATTTGCATTGAAATAATTTCTCCCAAAAAGGCCTAAAAAAGTTAAAGTCTCTACAACTAAAAAGAACCAATTTTAGTGAAAATGTTAAAAATGAACTTAAATTCATATTAGATTGTTAGATTTATTAGATTAGTTGACACACTCAGCAACTAGCTGGGTCCAGGTAGCATTAGCCCAGAGGTAATTGCTAATTTTTTCAATGCTACATGAGCTGACTTGATTATGCTAACATGTTCACATTGGCTTATTATTAGTATGTTTAAAGATGTATTTATACCATTATTTGCATTGTTAGCATTAGCCTTAGCTAATTAACAATGTTTTTAATTTTCAATAATCATAAAAACTGAGTCAGGTTTGAACAAAAACATGGATCTATGCTTTGGCATCATTGACACCAGCTACAAAGCAGATGTTTGGATGTGACAATGATCCTGTGATTTTACCAGAATCCTGCTGAAATTTAAAACTGAAAACCTAAATCAATGTCAGTGAAAGTGTGGAATGAGGACTGTAGAGAGGTTTCAATTGCCAGATATAGACAAGCACACTAGTGTTCACATTTTATATTAACGTGTTGTATTTCATGTGATCAAACCAAAACATACGCAAGTACTAAACTAAATGGGAGACTGCTTATATTTATAGCTTCTTGGAACTTGCATTAAATGTCAGATGTCAGATGCACAGGAGAACTAATTCAGACACTCAATAAACCAAGCACAGAGGGAGCTACTTGAGGACAACGACAGGGAGGCGTGGTGGGGAGCATAAACAATGGTTGGCTTCAGCTCACCATAGACGAGCTCTGCACAAACACCAGTTTGCCAATAGCTTCCATTGCATGTGATGAGTCTGATTGATCCTCTCAACTCCAACTGTCTGCTGACTTATCATCTGCCTTTAATATTGTCCAGGCAGATCTATTGAGAAAGCAGCTGGGTTTAAATCATTTCTTCAGAAGATGGATGCACAGCTTCTGTCCTGACATGCAACAGTACATGTGTTTATATCACATCCATGGAGAACAATTCTCTTTCATCTGCCTGAGGTACCACAAGGCTGTGTCTTCTCACCTATGCTGTTCATAAGGTAGAAGACATTTGTGTTAGCCACCAGGATAACTGTGATACAATTTGCAGATGTGGCTTTAACAGGTATTTTAACTGATGATGAGACGGGTTATAGATCTGAGATCAACAAGTCACTGCATTTGTACCTGTAGCCTGCTCTTGCTAGCTTTTCCAAGATTACCCATCCTAGATTTAAGGAAACGTAAAACGTTTTAAGGTGGACTGATCTATGCTGTCACAAAATTGCATAATAAGCAAGACAAAATTGGTCAGTTTTGTGCAACTATGTGGCAGGATAATTTAAGGAATACTTATATGACAGACCAGCACACCATCAGTTTACTCACAAGATCATTACAGAGCCACTGCACCCCCTAAGGTCTGAAAGTGTGATCTTATCTTTGGGGTAAAGATCTAGCTCGGTCTGGACTAAAAGAGACATCACGTCATTCATTTTATTCAGCTACATAGAATTTTAACCTTTATTGAACTTTCAATTCTTTATTAATCCCCTCAAATTGATCTTTTAAAGACCTTTTTCATGCTTATTTTCTATATGATGTCATAGTTGGACATTTTTGAGATATATAATTTTTATGCTCTTTGTGCAAACCATACTCCCGGAGGGGAAATAAAGCTTTCATTTATACATTCATTCTGTTATGGCTTTTTTTTTTTTTCTTTTTCACTGTAAGTGGGGGCCTTGTGTTCAGAGTTCTGAGAAAGATTGGAATCAGGATTCAACTCCACAGCACAGTTTTTCATGGATGTAGAATTAATTCTGTTTGATCATTAGCGTCATCCCAATATGGCCAAAGTGCCTCTCTGGATTGACAGTGATTTATTTGTTCTTTTTATAAACTAGTTCCCAAATTGAGTCTTTTTGGAATCAGTGTTAAGACTGAGTTTCATTCTATCTACAACCCCACAACCCTCTGCTCCCTGAATAGCATCTTTCCATTTGTAATAAATGGACGAGACCTCCTGCCATTGTCTTTTTTTTTTTTAACCCTCCGCATTCCTGTAACAGTTCCTCCTTTGGGGATAGACTCATTTAACCCAGATTTTCCTGTTTCGTCTTCATTGTTTGTTCTTCCTGAGATATGGGCCCTCTCTGAGTTGATTATTCACCGGCCTGTACAGTGCCACTGAGTTCACGTCCTCACCGACGTGCTGTTTCAGCACTAAACCCATGGGTGAACTAAAATATCATCATCAGAGCCCCTCCTCAAACACCGGTCACTGCCACTGGAAGCTGTACCTTTTATGTATTGAACATAATTCTTCCTGGCTTCATGTTTGCACAACTGCTTTGAATGGTCCCTGTTTCGCCACAACTTTGATTAATGTGTTTTCATTTCATTCAGGCTTGTTGTTACAGTTGTCTGTATAGTAAGAGCTGGTTTTACAGCCTCTCTGCTGCTCTCTTGCGCCGCTTCTCACTGCCTCGGCTCTGTTTACTTTCTTGCTTGCAGTAATAAAACACAACTGACATGAAAATGATTTGGAAACACAGTGTGTGGTGAGAAAGACTCTGCAGTTTCTGTCTCTTTAAGATCTTGATGGCTTTGCTGCTGCTCCCTTGAGGTCGCTGGCCTTCCTTAGGCCGCCTGCCAACTGCCATGTTACTGTCAAACGTTTGCAGAAATGCCAGCAAAGCCATTAGTCTCGACCCTTTTCAACAGTCAGCAGACTGGACAGTGTGAGCTGCACAGCGATGCAGAGAGACAAAGGGCTCGGCCTTATAAAACTACCAAACGCCTTACTTCTTCTTCTTCTGTATTTTCTGCCACATGTGTTACTGTTCACCTCAGCTGTGATCAGTCTCCTCCCCTCTGCTCTGGTGAGTTCTCAGACTCTTTGAGCCGGCACAGGACTCGGATAGAAAAACCACCATTCCCATGGATAATGATACATTTCAAACACTGCTACTCAGGCCTGGTCACTCATTTTTCAAATATGCGTAAAACAAAATTACCGTACAGTTCTTCAATGTGCCCTCTGGTGCCTCACAGCTGCTGTCCTGCATCGTGTGCTTCGTCTCTTGGGGCACAGCAGCATCTGGTGGTTGACTGAGGAAATCACACTCTTAACTCACCGTATTGACACTAACGACTGTTGATTTAGTAAAATTCACATGTTTTCAGCATTGTCCTGCTCCACAGGTCAAACACAAGCCAATTAGTTTCTCCTTTGGAGCTATTTGAAGCTATATGTTTAGGACATAATAACTGCAGCTGTTAAAGTGAAGAACAATCCTTTTCTACCTTTGCACTTTCTTTTTTCTAGCTCGTCTATCGCAAGGTGTTCCTGTCATGGAACACCGATTTTAGCCTCTTGTTAATTTTGGTTTTTCAATGCTATTTGTTTGGCCTGAAGCTGTTTACTTTCCTGTAAAGTATTGATGAAATCGATCAATCAACCGAGTTTTATTTGTAGTTTTATTTCGTACCCTTTGTACCGTTTCACAAATCATAATTCGTCTCATAGACCTTAACAAGGTGCGATTTCCTCTGCCATTAAGCCCCAGCAAGTGTAAGGAAAACTACAAAAAAATCTTTAAGCTGGGAAACAAAACAATGTAGAAACCTCAGAAAAGGTTGCATGAGGGATCCCTCTCCCAGGACGCACAGACATGCAATAGATGCCAATATTAATGAGAAAAGACAGTTTCTAACAAGAAACTGAAATATTTAAAAATGTATCAATCTTTACACTATTTGTACAAAAGATAAAGTCTGATGGATGAAGGACACAGCAATGACACGTTAAGTATATTTTCACCTGAACCATTTATTTATTTATTTTTTCAGAAAACTCTCCATTAAAACCCTAGAAATGCTCACAGATGGTGAGTGGCTAATTAGACTAATCCTATTTAAAGGGTCAGGGCTTCCTGGTTGTGTGGTAGTCGATGGAGAGACCTGTTTTGTTAAAAATCCTCTTAGAAGTCGCGTCATGTGACCCCTCTGAGGGCTGCAGGATGTGTATGGAGACTTATGGTCATTCACAAGCTGGATGGAGTCAATCTGAGTGCTGCCTGACAAGACCTCCGTCTGGTGAGACACTGTATTCATGCATGTTTTATACGTTCATAATGAAGAACCTTTACATAGAGGTTTTAATGTATTGGTTATACATCAGCCAGAATCCTCTCTTTCTTTTGTCTGTTCATTAAGACCAGACTCGCCAAACATGCCCCTCCACAATGGCATCGTAAAAGAGGCCTGGACACGAGACAGGTATGTCAACAGCAGCAAACAGCATCACAGACATTTGTCATGCAAAGCATTTGTTTTTATATGTGTGATCAAAACCTCTGTGTGCCTTCCATCAGCCCAACCTGAGGCCTTGTGCTTGTCTGAATGATTATTCCTGCTTCCACACCCACTTTCCTCCGAACCAACCAAGTGGTGCTAAACCAATAAGTAGCAAGGGAAAGCTTTGTTGCCGCTGTCAGGCAGAACTGCTCAGGCCTGATTCCCATACCCTGTGTGACCTGTTAATGTAAAAATGACTCCACAGAGAGGGAAGGGGAAGATCAGAAGCTTTTCACAAATTCATGGCTGCTGGTTGCTCAAAATGGTTACGATGGATATATGGATAATAAAATTCTATAATACATATTTGTAAAACATTTAATTCCATATCCTTGTGTGACTGTTCAAACTAAATTAATTTGTCAACAAGGCTTTAGCAAATGGAAGCTAGATATTTAAAATAATATTTACAGGCCACATGTAATAGGTTTTTCATAATAATTATTGCTATTATTATCGTCATCATTTGGGTAATCACATGTTTCTAATTTATTTTGCCCCAGGATTCAGGAAGATGAAGATTCGGATTCTTCCCTGCAGCAGCAGCAGGTTCAGGTAAACACAAAATCTCTTTTCCTCAGTTGACGCCGGAAATGAGCAACACAGATGCCTCTTCCATTCTGACCTGTATACAGTGATTTGCAATTGGTGTGAAGGAAGTAAATATGACATCTTGTTGGTTTACAGCTGTTTTGTAGCTGAAGAACTCACATTGAGTTTTAGGTGTAAGGACAGTACACATAATGATAAACAAGTCTTCTCCCTCCTCCTGGGCCTTTGTTGGTTTCTCCCGTTGACGTGTTTCCACAGAGCAGATGGCTTTACACATAAATCCTATTAACAACTTTCTGCTGATGGAGACGCAGTGACTACAGGGCTTTCTCACTCTTTCATTATCTCCAGTGAGAAGCCTGTATTTTTTATTTTCTAACCTCTGAAAAAGGGGAAGTGGTAGAGCTGAAGTCGAAGGCCACACCATGTCTGCAGAGAAGGTAAAGTGGTCGGGTTGTGGATTTGTGGATGTTTTTATTGATTTTAAACCCATCTCAGTGTTAATGAAGATGCCTGGTTATGGCATGTAAATATATTTGGATAGTGAGACCTAAAGGGCGACAAACGATAATTCACCCTTGGCTTTTGTCATACAACAATATATAACTTATGCAGAGTTTCAAATGGGGGTGCAGTGCATTCATTGCATGCTCATTATCAAGCTCAAATTTGTATTTGTGATAGAGAATACTTTGGATATTAAAAGTTAAATCTAAGAACAATTATGTGGATAATAATCTATGACCCATATGTGAGGTAACTGGTACAAAAGCTAGCATGGGAAGTTTTCCATTAGGGCAAGACAGGTTATCCTCCTGAGACATTCTTCAGAGATTCAACTTGCACACAGGAAATCATCTCTGTAGGCTGCTTCACTGTAGCTTTTCGTTCTCAACCTCCATTGACTTGCATCTCAATTGATAATGTCTAAATTTATGAAGCTCATCTGCTGAGTAATGCATCCGCAAAAGCACGCATGAGAGATTGAAGTAATCCTGCAACGTAAACCATTGAGCAGCGCTACTGTTGTAACGCCTGCAACAGCATTTCCATCTTCATGCTGTTTCCTTCTCAAAGGCCTTTAAGGGTCTTCTCCTCTTTTATTGTGAGTTATCATATGTTAGAGTAATTGTTATGTTTTTGGGTCATGCAAACATCACCAATGCAGAAGGACCATTAAAATCTGGTTCATGGTTCATTAAATCTAAATCCTCTTTGTAGCTACAATTATCCAGAATGATCTCAGCTCCTCCAGTATTTTACCAAGCAAATTAAAAAAGGTCACTAGCAGAGTTTCAGATTCACAAGTGGTATCTACTGTTTTCAATACGTTGTTGTCGAATGGGTTTAATACTACAAAAAACAAACCATTGTTGTAAGTTGTTATTGCAACTGATAGCCAGTTCATTATAATGTCCTTCTCAACTTTTATTCAACTGATTCCAGTTTGACCAATACCAAATCTGCCATTACTCTGACTTGTGGATTGTCTATGGACACAAATAGACCTCCATCGTTGCAGGATCTACGTGTAATAGGATTACCTTTACTGTCTCTGCTGTCCGCAATCACACTGACCTCCTTCTGTAACTTGGGACTGTAACACACTCTTCTATCCACTGCTTATTTTTCAGACTCCTCAAACTCAAGAAATACATTTTGTTCATTATATCACAGTTGAAATCGTCACATGTACCAATCAGTGGGTGGATGTAGTTTGGGAGTGTGAAGAGTCATGGGTCTTAACCCCCTTTAGACTTTACCTTAAGCGTGTGTCTAGACAGACCTGATAGAAGACACTGCTACAGGCCATGAAGAAAGACCTGCAAACTGGAGAAAGTTATAAAGAATTACATTTGGACAAAATATAGGCATAGGCATCTCAGCAGTCTTCCTTTTTGTTTAGTAAATTGTTTTTTAACCTTCATTAAGTCATTGCCTTGAAGTCATTTGTCTTCTAACACGTGTGTTTGTGATTCACAACCACATTGTTTATATATATTAGCATTTTGTAGTACTCAGGCTGAGCAAGTTACATAAAATGGTCACAGAACTTGTTTATTTCTTTTTGTATTATCAAAACTGTGTATCAAAGATATTAATAGATTATTCTGTTCTAGAAAGTTATCACTGTCATTATCTCATGTCCTGTTCCTTCTCTGACTGGTAACTAAACATTACAGCCTAAGTCAGTTTACTTGTAGTAAATAAAAGCCGGCAAGTACAACCTTGCCAGAAGCTAAATATATTAATTATTGCTTTTGTTGTTAGAGTATGAGGGTGATCTTCAAAACCAACGTGAATGATGAAATGAAGATACAGGATTTTACATAATTAAATGCTACAAAAGTGACATTATAATTTTTCTTTTTTCTCCACTCTGCCCTTACGGTCCAACTTTGCAATGGTGAGTTTTTATTATCAATTAAGTGTTTATCCTCCCCAAAAAATATTTTCCCCAAATTGACTGTCACGTTTTCTTTCTTCTCCTCGCATTGTTTCACAAGTCTTTCATAGAAGCCAAAAAAGAAAAGAGAAGAGGCCAACGTCACAACAGATGCCAAGTCGAATGGAACTGAAGCCAAGCCCAAAAAAACAAAGACCAAGAAAAATGAGGATGCTTCAGAAGAGGACAGTCCAGCCATCCAAAGTGAGGCACACTGAATAAAGGCTGAGATATTTTATTTAGATGCATTCAGATTCTTCCAAATGACAAACTAATATATTGAGTGTTTTACATGTTATAAAATAATAATATATAAGATATACTGACATCTAACCACGCTGATTACATTGATTTTTCCTTATAAACATTATAGATGGAAAGAAGGTGAAGAAAAAGAAACCAGAAAAAGACAAGGACGAACCCGAAAAGGACAAAGTAAAAGAGAAAGAACCAAAAAAGAAAGCTAAAAGTGTACCAAAAAAAAAGAAAGGTAAGTCGTTAATGATGTTTCTTTCAAATCAAACACAGGAACAGTTTTCACATTGAAACTGGGCTGTGTAAAAACCAGTTTGAGACCTTTAAACCACATAGGTTCAAATATACAATATTTTGTTAATCATCCTAGAAAACACCAGAAATATTTCAATTGAAAAAAGTTTACCGTCTTTCCAGGTTCAGGCACAGATGACGATGATAATGATGAGGAGGACACCCCCAAGAAGAAAACTAAGAAAAAGACGACAAAGGACAGCTCTCCATCAGCAAGTTCCACCAAAGACAAGAAACCTAAATCAAAAGGTATGACGTTTTCTAAAAGTATCACAGGTTTGTCTCAAAACCACAGATATGAGACCAGTCGAATGTTGTTGAGAGGATTAGATGATTTGTTGTGTAATGGTGAGAGAGTGGAAACACTCACTTGGTCGCAGAGGCAGCAGAATAAAACGTTTAAGTGAGTAACCTGCCCTGAAGTGATTAATGTGGAAAATGTAAACAAAAACATTAGTCTTGTTCCATGCCAAAATGAATTGGATTCGTTCTTGCTCCTTGTCCCATTCTTCCACAAAGTTTCGTAAAAATCTGTTCAGTAGTTTTTGCTTACTCCTGCTGAAAAATTGATTAATAAACACTGATTAACAAACTGGTTTGTTAACTGTTGGCTATACTGACAAAACGATTGCATTAAAGGGATAGTTCCCCGAAAAATGAATATTCACTCATTATCTACTCACCACTACGCTGATGAGGGGGTGGGTGTTGTGTTTGAGTCCACTAAACACTTCTGGATACTCAGGGGCAAACAGCGTTGCAACCAAATCGAATGTAAATGGGGACTACGTCTTCGTAGTAAAAAAAAAAAAAATGCAGAAAAAACCATAACATGCCTCCATACTGCTCCTGTGGTGTCATCCAAGTGTCCAGAACCCCCAAAATACTTCTCGGGACGTCGTCATTTACACTGTGTTTTTAGCCTAAATGTTTGCTACTGGAGTTAGTGATGTTACCGCGCACCGGCGAGTACCCTTGGGCGAGAGCGTGTGTGCAGTGTGTGCGTGCAAATGTGAACACTGCTCCTGAAATGAAAGCGTTGCATAAGGGCAGGTTTTCAGGAGAAGTTATCCTCCAATTTAGTGTCACTTGAAGTGGATTTTAAAAGTTGACTGGACGTTTTGGTACAAAGACAGCTGTGTCTTTATCACCATAGCAGCATGTCTAGACAGTATACAAAGATGGACGACATGACAACTCCTAAAAATTTAAGCCAGTCATCTTAGTGGCTGTGGTATAGATCATAAACGCCACCTCCTTCACCTGGATATATGGGACATGGATCAAACTAAAAAGTGAAGATGTGTTGTTTGTCTTTCTACAAAGTCTTTGGCAGCGTTTCTGAAAGGATGGCAGTGTTGGTTTGTTCCAGACTGAGGTATCTCAACTTTAGCATGATATTAGCATTTTTAGCATTTAACAAAACATCTCAGAAATGATCGAATGGATCGCCGTCAACTTTGGTACAGACAGAATCGCCTTTACTTTGTTGATTCCTTTTTTTTTATGTCACACCCTTCTCAGGCCAAGGATTTTATTGCAATACTCTTAATAAATAATTTGCAAATACTAGCATGCTAACATGCTAGACTAAAACTAAGATAAACATTGTGCCTAATTACCATCAGCAACAGTTCGTATCGTCTTTGTGAACTTGTTTATTACGCCAACATTAACATTTACAGGCCCAAGTCTTGTTAGCATACTCATAGTTAAATTCATGAAACCAGTTCTGCCGGCGATAAAACTGCAGATATTTCAGTTATTCTGCATGTTGCTGATGTCTCAAATTGTTCCTTTGGGAATAAAATTAAGATTTTGACACTCCTGCTTCTCAAGAATGTTAAAGTGTGGAGTTGTAGGTTTTTGCTAACTTGAACTAAGTATCAGCAGAGATGGACCTATTTACTGTAAATTGAGCTCGTTCTCTCTTCCTGGTTGAAATGATTGTATAATGTAGCCCAGAGCGTTGGTTGGATCATCTCCAGAACTGTTGCCTGTGAGCTTAACTTAACCGTCCTCTCTCTGATCTCTGATCAGCCTTCAGTCATTTAAGAAAGACCTGCACCAACTTGTGTTTGTGGCTCCTGCTCCTCCAGTGAAGGAAAGACAGCTGGTCTGTTTGAAGTAACCATGGAAATACAATATAAAACATTATAGCAGGAGCCTGATTTATGCTGTATATTTTTGTAGCTACTGTTGGAAGCTGTCTGCAGTACTATACTGATGCAATTTATAGAGTTGCAAATTGTACAGTAAGATTTTGTGTCTGAATGACCCCACATATATAAAACATTGATTGTAAAAGTCTGGTTTCAGTTAACATTTCATTGGATGTCCAGCTGTCCTGACCTCATAGAGTGCATACCTCCTCCAAGGCCCAACAGTCCACTAAGGAAACCATATTTAAATTTACTAGATCACATTCTCGTTAGGTTTGCAAAAAGCCCTATCTCACAATGCTGAGGAGAGTGGAGAAAAATATTCCGTGATCTGCTTCCTGATCCAGATCTGAAACCAAATTTAATGGGTTCTTCCCTGACCCACACGACATCTTTCCACCGGGTTTCATGTTAATCTGTCCTGTAGTTTTTGCATAATCGTGCAAACTAACAGACTCACATGGAAACTTAAACACCTAAGCAGAGGTGGCAATTAAGAAACTGGGTAAATAGGTTTGTGGAAGAACAAGAACAAGCAAACATGTTAGGCAAAGGAATGTCAAGTGTGTTTGGATATGGGACTAGAACTGTGAGCACCGTAAGAACCATGAACACCTTTTGTTTTAAAAAATAAAAGGATTGTAAATTTGCCACCAATAGATTGACATGATGAACCAAAAGTTTGTTGTTCCCAAAACGGATATAATCAATATGTTTGTATTAACAATGGATCACTTGACTATATTTAGTTACATGTGAAATTAGCATCAGCTACATTTTCCAATGTTTTATAGTCTTTCAGCTAATTGTTTTGTTTTCCAAATTCAATGTTAGTGTTGTTTTCACTTGAAGTGTTTCCAGTAAGTAGTTATTTTCAGCTAAAAAGCTCTTAAAGAAGAAAAAAGATAGACTGTTCTCTGTCCAGCACCAAATGTCAGGGCACTTGGCAGCTAAAGAGCCAGATGTTTCCCTCTGGAGTTGGTGAACACTATAACAGGGCTGAAAGTAGATTGGACAGAAATAACTGATGCTATAAATTGATGATAAGAACTGGCAGAAATTCAAAATAACAACTTAAAAGGCGATAATACTTTTTGTCCATGTTGTGTTTACAACATGTTGACCCCAAGTAACCAACCCAGTTAATCATTCATCTCGTGAATATCGTCTGAATACTGTCAGTTATATGTAGACAGAAAGTAAACCTGAGATGTTACAGGGTTTGAAGAAGGAATCAAACTGTGACTAGTTGACATTTAACAGTGAACTAGAACTCCTCTGATGAAGTAGTACAAGTGCTCATCTCAGCTCATATTTAACCATGTGCTTTCAATCCCCAACGTTCATTGATACTGAAACTATACAGGCGGCAGAAACGGCGTTGGCAGTAATCAGTCAGCAATCAAGGTGTGAGGACGTGTTGGGACAAGTTTTAAAAGCGAGTGCTGACAGTATTCTGAGTGTAATCTGGGTTTCAGGACACAGCACTTGTGTCTTGAATCCATTGTGACGAGTCCAACTGAGGACAGAGGGAAAAACAACTTACAAGAGAAGTTCATTAGTTTTGTCCTTGGTCTAAATCCCTTACACGAAAAAAGATGTTACCGACCTAACACCCAGAGTTGAGGCAAATCCTAGTGAAGGCAAAATCCTTTTCACCATCTCAAGTGCTCAGAATCTGAGCTACAAGAAACAGCGACAGCAGATCTTAAACTGAATGAGTTATTGTGCTTTTTATAATCTGTCACAGTCTCAAACTTTAGCTTGCTCACTGCAGTTTCGACACCTTTTCCGTGTCCAGTATAGAACACCAAGGAGGGAGATGTACAGTATTTTCCTTTGAAGGGAAATTGCATAAAATTAACCGACATGATTCTCCAGTTTTTTGGTTTTAAAGAATTGATGTTTCCACTTTTTGCCTTTGTCTTATTTTTCAGAGGACAAAGATTCCGATGGAAAAGAAAAGAAGTCCAAGTCGAAGGACAAGGAGAAGAAGAAGGAGCCAGCTTCGATGTTTCAGATAAACGGAGAAAAAGAAACAAAAAGCAAGAAGAAAGGTGATGACTGAACACATTAAGTAATCCCCTTTTACTGGATGTGAGACTTTACAGTACAACATGTAGCATGAGGTTGAAATGACATAATGTTGACTCTAAGTTTAACTTAAATGAAAATCTTCTACGCCTCGTCCTATTGAGCAGCTGCCAAATCGGACAGTGACGACAGCGAAGAAGAGACAAAGTCGACCAAATCGAAGAAGAAATCCAGTGCTGGGTCCACGTCCATTTTTCAAACAGCAGGAGACAAGGACAAAGATAAGGACAAGGACAAAAACAAGAAGACAAAGAAGAAAGGCAAGTTTATGAGTAATGTATTCCTCTGTTCCTATGTTTGAGTTACAGACAAGAAAACAACATGTCTGTTGTGTGTTTCAGCAAAGGCAGAGGACAGTGATGAATCTGACTCAGAGAAAGAAGAAAAATCAAAGAAGAAGAAGGGCAAAGGGAAGAAGAAAAAGGTGCAAAATAAATCAATTTATTAACAGGCAGTCAAATAATTTTAATACGAATGGACCACACTGAAAACATCAGGGGTTTGAATCCATGTTAACCTATTTATGCTTCTCGATCAGGAGAGATCTCCATCACCTGAGATCGAGTTTGACGACCTGGAGACTTTTGTGATGCAGCCGGCTCCGCAGAGCGTGACCATCAAATGCAGAGTGACTCGAGACCAGAGAGGGATGGACAAGAGCCTCTACCCTCTGTACTACCTTCATCTAGACAATGAAAAAAAGGTCAGGAAGTGCATTAGAGTTTGAAAGTTTGTGAGTTTTATAATGATGCAAATGAGCAGGTCTCCTGTAAAGCCCCCCCAGAGCACTCCTGTCAGTAGTCCTGTTAGTATTTGATCAATCACAGCTTTAGGGATGTGTGTAAATTGTATTTCCTTCCCTTGTTTAATTATTCTGAAATGTCTCCTTGTCTGTTCCTTTGCAGACATTCCTGTTGGCCGGCAGGAAAAGAAAGAAATGCGCAACTTCAAATTACCTCATTTCCATCGACACCACAGATTTATCAAGAGGTGGAGAGAATTTTGTTGGAAAGCTGAGGTACACATTGATTTAAAAAACTTGATTCATTCAAAAGATGCATGAAAAAAGTGCATTATCAGCTTAATCTGCTCTAGTTTTCTCATTGCTATGAGTTTTATTTTATACATTTCTTAGGTCAAATTTAATGGGGACTAAGTTCACCGTATTCGACAACGCTCTGAATCCAGAGAGAGCTCTTCCAGACATGTCTAACGCACGGCAGGAGTTAGCAGGAATCATCTATGTAAGTCATCTAACGCTCCCTCTTTATTATTTACTGTACGTACATTATATATATATATACACATACATGTATAGATATATGTTTAATTTTAATCATTTCTGTATTCAGGAAACAAATGTTTTAGGTATGAAAGGACCCAGAAGGATGTCGGTCATCATTCCAGGAATGAACAAGGACAATGAGCGAGTACCGCTCCGGCCAAGAAACGTAAGATCATTTTTGTTTTGTTTTGTTTTGTACTCTTGGCCCATGTCCCATCCTTCCACGTTTTGTGGAAATCCTTTCAGCAGTTTTTTCGTAATCGTGCTGGGCAAAAACACAACCGTCATAGCAGGGGTAATTAGCCAAGAGAAGACAAAACAAAGTGTGTGTTGTTGGAATTATCAGACACACACTTCGAACTGTGACTTGTTGGTTGGTGTGCGTGAGACCGAGACCCTCAGATGACCAATGATATCCATACTGCACACAGCTTGATTTATGGAATGCTTTGTGTTCATTATGAGTGCAACACAAGGCCAGTGTGTAAAATCTCATTGCTCTTAATTGGTGTTAAGTGACTTGTGTTTTCTTCATAGGAATTTGACGGCCTGTTGATAAGACACCAGAATAGAAGGATGGAAAATCTGATCGAGCTTCACAACAAGACGCCAGTGTGGAACGAAGAAACATCGTCTCATGTGCTCAACTTCAACGGCCGCGTCACCCAGGCCTCCATCAAGAACTTCCAGATAGTCCACAGCAAAGACTGTGAGTGGAGGGGGGGCAAAGATAGATGGGTAGATGGATGGATGGATGGATGGAGAGAGAGAGATGGCTATAGAGAGAAATGGATTGAGAGAAAGAGAGAGAGATGTTAGAAGCATAGAGAGATGGATGGATAGATAGCAGCTTGTCCTCAGGTTATTTTTCCTCATGTTCTGATTGTTTGTGCCTGAAAAACATTTCTCACTTTGAACATAAGTGTGAGTTAAATACTGTGAAATGAATGTGACAGCCTCAGCAGCACAGGATTAGACATGCGTACAGAGACATTAAACGCGTGTTGTGATTTCCCTCTTAGATGACTTCAGTAAATATCTCATACGTCTCCTTTCACTTGTTCAAAACATATAAATGCAGTTATTTAAATTTATATAAGAAACGTTGTGAATGAGCTAATTCTACGTTGGTTGGGAGAGTGGTCTTGACGTCACCTTTGTCGATAAAAACGATTTATTAGAACCCTTGCGCCCATGAGGGTTATTCATCTAGGTTTTCTTTCTTTAAATGTCCTGTAGTGTCTGAGTTTTTCTATAAGTCATCGACAATAACCGCTGCTTTGGGACATTTGAAGGAGGGGCTGCAAGGGAGAACACAAATGTCTGAGTCACATAAAGAATACAAATATCTCAGGATGAAAAAGAGGAGGAGCCACACACATAGAAGACAACAACTAATGATGAAGTTCACCATATTATATACAGTATACATTAGGCCGTATGTATTTATGCAGGGATATCTTTATGTCTGTCTAGCTAAACTGTCCTTGTCTTTTCCAGTGGACTACATTGTGATGCAGTTCGGACGGATAGCCGATGATATTTTCACACTGGACTTCAGCTACCCGATGTGCGCTTTGCAGGCCTTTGCCATTGCGCTCTCCAGCTTCGACGGGAAAATTGCCTGTGAATAACAGAGAGATTCCTAGTAGCTCACACACACACAGACACACACACTGAAACCACTGTGCAACACGCCCACACTGACACCAGACCAAACCCATGTCTGTGGACGTTGCCGTCAACACTTCCTGTGATTGGCACTGATAACGAATAATGGTTCCTTGAATGTGGCTGCTGTGGTGCCGTCACATTTTTTGGGCGTATGATTTCCAACAGGAGGAAGAAAAAAAATTGGGTTTCAGATTATCGTCCCATCTTGACACTGGAGAGTCCTGTTTTTTGTGTCGCAGTAAAAAACGAATCACACAACGTCGTACACTATTTGAAAAGACTCAAGTGACTGGAAGGTTTTTATTTTTTATTTTTTAAGGGGTAATGCTGCACCTCGTTGGTGAAGGTGTTCAAAGATTACTAACACTATTTGTTGTGTTGTTTTGAATTGTACTGGGCTTTATTTAAAATATCAACAGGTCAAACATGCCTTGAGTCAAATGCAAACAAACTGCAAAATAATGTTTTGCACTGAGTAATTATACTTCATGAAATATTAACAATCTGCACAAGTGACAAAAGTAAGATTTTATTTATTTGAAGCTACACAACAGACCGTCCATAGTTTAGTGACTTAATCAGTTCCAGGTATCAGGTATTATTGAAGTAACATATGTAGAAGTTGAATACTTTGAATAGGAGTGGCTGTAGTTCTGCTCATGTAGATTTTTATATTTTTATTTTTCTGAACACTGCCTTTGTTGCATTGTTACGATTATTGTGTTAATGTGATTAAATAAAGCATGTGAATTAAATTTCCTTCAAAACACCATCAGCATTTATTCCCTCCACCAAGGAGGCCTGTGGCCTGGGCCTGGGAGGAGCCCCTTATGTTTGTTATATGGATTAAAGCTTCTTTCACTTTCTTTAAGTTTACAACAATGTTTTTTAACCTTTTTGTCAATTTTTAGGAGAATTTTGCAGAAATCTGTATTTTCCACAGCTGAGGATTATGGAAACTTTATCATTAAAGTCATCAGATCTTTTTTTTCTCCTATTTCTAAGAACTACACAATCACATGAAGGACTGTTTGGCCTTGGTGCAGGTGTGCGTCTTAGTGAGGGCCATTCTAGTTTTATAAATTCAAACTTTTCTTACTGAGTAGCTGTTTAGTGCCTGTGGTTCAAAATGCAAAAAATTCCAATATTATATTAGAGATGAATGGATTTTGATGTTTAAGTGGTAAGGACAGATGCCACAGAACCACAATGTTCTCTTTTATTCCAGACGTGGACATTTGTTATACTTCTTTCTCCCCCTCACTCTATTCTCCTGAATGCCGCTGTAGTTTAATAGATATCAAGATCAAATTAAACATAACCTTTAAAAAAGAAAATGGATTTTGCAGACAGTCAGTGTTGTAACAGTCCCTCACTGTGGGTTTGATCATTTGCTATAGATTTGTGTTTTTGACATTATCATCTGCGTACAGGCAGCTGGCAGACAATCAGAAAGATCCTGGCCGGTTTCAACTTTGGGAGACACCCACGCCTTTTCGCTGGTCGTTTCCTTACACGTCGAGAGAGGCTTCGCTCAGGATGAAAAACCTGTTTTAGCCACGAAGTCCTCGAGAGTGAGTGAGAGGTGTGAATTCTGCCTGAACCTGCTCAGGCAGTTGTCCAAACTCGCAGGTTCAATGAAGCATGACGCTGGCAGCTCCTCTGGACAGATGCTGAGAGGTGAGTCCCACCCCCCCGCCCCCCCCACTGTCTCTTTCTCTGGTTGGATTCCTGATCAATAAACTACTGAGGCTGCTGTTGTCATTCTGAAATGCTGAGACAATAAGTGAAAGTCATCTTCACACATTTTTTGTTTGTATAGTAGCTCTGCTTCTGTGTCCCACTTGTGGATGAATATGTTGTGATGATGCAACCACGCTCTTGACCAACAGGAGGAGCTGTTCCCGAGAGATGTGTTACAGCCACATAGAGGATAGTAAAAATAAGAAGCATCAGTAAAAAAAAACCATACAATATAAACATGAAGAAATAGACACATGCAATTTAAACACAATATATACAGTGTGAATAAAATATATACAATTCACACAGAATGTATACAGTGTGACAGAATAAATATAATTATAAACAGAATGAGTAAAGTGTAAACAGAATAAATATAAATGTGAACAGAATTAATACAGTGTAAATATAATAAATATAAACAAAGTTAATTTAATGTTAACCAAATTAATACAGTGTAAAGAGAACGAATACAGTGTCCACAGAAACAATATATGTAAACAGAATTAACATAAATGTAAACAGAACGTATACAGTGTAAGCAGAATATATACAATGTAACTTTTTGCAGTACAGCATGACTAAACTTCTTTTCTTCACTCAAACATGTATATAATCAGACTATATACTGTATATGTTCGGACTATATATAATTAGACTGTATATTATCAGACTGTATATGATCAGACTATAGACTGTATATAATCAGACTGTTTATAATCAGACCATAGACTGTATATCATAGTCTGTACATACTCAGACTGTATATAGTCAGAACGTATATGATCAGACTGTATATGATCAGACTGTAGAGTGTATATAATCAGACTGTATATGATCAGACTGTAGAGTGTATATAATCAGACTGTATATGATCAGACTGTAGACTGTATATAGTCAGACTGTATATGATCAGATTGTAAATGATCAGACTGTAGACTGTATATAATCAGAGTGTATATAATCAGAGTGTATATTATCAGACTGTTTATAATCAGAGTGTATATGATCAGACTGTATATGATCAGACTATAGACTGTATATAATCAGAGTGTATATAATCAGAGTGTATATAATCAGAGTGTATATTATCAGACTGTAGACTGTATATAATCAGACTGTTTATAATCAGACTGTATATAATCAGAGTTTTGTGGGGGGGGGGGGGACAGGAAGCTGAAGTCCTAGCCTAGGGTTCTGCCAGTGGGCGGGGCCTGCTGTGAAGTGCCCGCCCCTCCGCCCCCCCGGCCTGTTGATTGACGCGCACCACTGGCCCCTCCTCGAGCGTCTTTCTGTGTCCCTGGCCCCTCCCCCCCCCGTCCTCCAGTGTGGTGCGTTGATTTCATACCAGAGTCATACTTCACATTCCACTTCTACTGTCAAAGCTCTGACAAATATTAGGCAAAACAACGAGGCGCCAAATTACTGCAAAGTCCCCAAATCCAGCGGCTGCTGTGAGCGGGCCTGACACCATCCCAGAGAAAAGGTAAGTTTCTCCTCTTTCTGCTTTTCTCTCTCTCCCTCTCTCTCTCTCTGTCCGTCTGTTTTCTGCTGGGGCAGTTTTTTTTTTTTTTTTTTTCATGCCGCTCGTCTCGGTGAAGTTTTCAGATCATTGTCATTTTTTACATTTTTCCGCGGAGCTCCCTGCGTCTGGGAGGGAAGGAAACATCTGCAGATTTGAAAGTCTTATTGTGTTTTGCCTCATGTGCAGGGAGATCTATCTTTGACTGGCTCTGCTCAATCACATTAACACCGGTAGTCCGCTCACTGTGACTTAAAAACACACACACACAAAAAGAACAACACAAACTCTTCCTGGCAGCAGAGAAGTGCGCCAACATGTTTGTTTTCTGTGTCTCGCACAGTTCATACCTGGATCACGCTCCTGTTTCAGCCTCAAGAGGAGTCCAGCGGTTTGTTATAAACCCACAGACTCACACAGAGACACTCACAACACAACACAACACGGGATTTGGAGGAATACACAACTTCAGTCTGGTTTGGATCTCTGCATCCCGAAGGTAAGATCACTTCTTCATTTGTCAGCACAAGTTCAATGGAGGCGACTTCTCCTGTTCCCCTCCAGCGGCAGATGTTTTTATTATAGTAGAAATAAAGTTCAATTCCCATGAATAGTTCAGACTGGAAGTTTCTCCTGAGTGTCTGTGCTGCAGCCATGAGACTGAAATGTTTAACTACCACATGGGTCAAACATTCAAAGAGCCTTTATCAAGATTCTGATTGTTTTCTCTTTTTGATCACACTTCTTTATAATAAAAAAAGAAAAGAGTTTTGACCATAGAAAACCAGCACATTTGTATTTCTGTTAGATAAAAACCAGGGTGTAGGCTTCACTGACCAAACTGGAACTGCCAAAATATTTCTGTTACATCACAACTATTATGCCAGTAGATTTAATTTAGAAATATCAACTCCTCTTTATTGATTTATTGTATTAACACCAAAAAATTCTAACGGATGACAGATTTTGATATCTAATCTACTTTGGTCAATTCGGAGGGAAATTCTGATCCCACGTAAAATATGTGATTTGTGATTTAAGGCTGCTTGAAAAAGTTTAACACTCAAAATGATGTTCCTTTAATAGAGTTAGACCCAAAGCGACAGCACAAGATAATAGTGACATCATGTCTGTTGAGTTGATAAGTAAATAATGTAGTACAATAACTAATAATCCATAAGCTTCTTAAATTTGAAATAACTTAAACTCATTAAGATCATGTAATGTTAAATTTTTAATTAATATTCATGGTTTAATCTACATACTCTACTGTACATATATATATTTAAGAATATGGAAATCTTTCTTTCTCTCTCGTGCCAACAAACAGGGGCAGGATGATACTCTGTAAAGTCCCACTAAGTACATAATTCATAGGTGAGGATTTGAGATGCACGGATATGTACGAGAGCTAATTGTGTAATTATTTGAGCGCCACCTGCTCTCACACTGAGTGGTCGGTTTAGACCCGAGGAAACTTAATTTCAAATTTCTTGAACAGATCTTATTTTAAAAAGTGTTAGCGCCTTCTTCGTGCTGAATTTCAACAGACACACACAAGCTGCAGAGTTCAATCATTGCCAGTCAACAGGTTTGACTAAACGACAGAATGTGGTCTGTCAGGTTAGTGACAGTGAGCAGAATAACCTGTTAACTTTGCTCTGTGCTTCTTTAACTCTCTGTTTCACCAAAGTGACATACCTTCAAGTTTATATTGTGATATTTGCTCAATGGTTTTGAATATGTCCTGCAGGTTTGCAGGAAAACAAAGCTATTTTCAGGAAGGGAACAGAGTTTATAGCTCTGTCTTTAATCCATATGGTCGTAAATTTACAGACGGCTGGCGTTTGGTGAGATCTTTGAAGCCCGGTTGAGTTACAGTCTTTCGATACAACACTGATAAAGAGGATGAGGCGATATCTCATGGCAGGTTTTTTTTTTCTAAATAAGTCCCATTATATCGTGGCTGAGGGGTAAAATCTACACTTTTAGCTTTTAACTTCATATCAACATTAGGAAAAGATCCTCTGAAACAAAACTACCACTTTCCAGTACGACCAGTTCAGCCTAACAATGTGTCCTTGGTAGATGAGACACGCCATGATGCCTAATAATAGATTTCGATGCTGATGGGTAAATCTGGAAAGGATTAAGCATTCTGCTGCTCTGACAGATTCCCCTTCGTTGTTTTTTATGCAGCATGAATGCATCAGGCCTCCCAATGTACAGTGTGGTGGGTTCTTTCTTTTTTTTCTTCCTTGAACCTATTTTATGTGTCTCAGCCGTTGTGGATTTTTATCATTTATCCTCTGTGCTTGTGTGAGAGTTAAATGCGAGGGGAAAGTTTTA